AGTCAAGTTAAGGTGGCCTCCTTCCACTGTGTTGGCAAACGGCACTGAAGTAGATAAAGATGGAATTATTTCCTTAAACTTGGTAACAGCATTGCCAGATAGACATCTGCTGTAGTGGAATTGTTTCCCACATAGAGTATAATCCATTAATGTAAATTCAAAAGTTATTAGAAAATGGTCAGACAGAAGAGGGTTATGGGGAAAAACTATTAAGTGTTCAGTTTTGATGCCATATGTCAGAACCAGATCAAGAGTGTGATTAAAACAGTGAGTGGGTTTATTTAGTTTGAGAGAAGCCAACTGAGTCTAATAATGAACAGAATGCATTGTTGAGGCTGTCATTGTCGGCATCTACATGAATATTAAAGTCGCCTACTATGATTATTTTATCTGTACTAAGCACTAAATCAGACAGAAAGTTTGAGAATTCACTTAAAAACTCTGAATAAGGAGCAGGTGGACGGTATACAATAACAAACAGAACAGGCTTTTGAGTTTTCCAGTTTGGGTGTGAGAGACTCAGGGTGAGACTTTCAAATGAGTTATAACTATGTTTAGGTCTAGGGTTGATTAATAGGCTTGTGTCAAACATCGCTGCCACACCTCCACCCCTTCCTGTGTTTCGAGGGATGTGACAGTTACTGTGACTAGGTGGAGTGGATTCATTTAGGCTGACATATTCTTCCTGCTGTAACCATGTTTCAGTAAGACACAATAAGTCAATGTGATGTTCACTTATCAAATCATTCACTAACAGAGATTTAGATGAGAGAGATCTGATATGTAATAGTCCACATTTGATTGTCCTATTACTTTCTACTATAAGAGGAGACATCTTAATTTTAATTAGGTTCTTATGAATAACTCCTCTGGAGTTGATTCTTGATTTATATAATTTAGGTGGGTGGGGGGCAGACGCAGTCTCTATGGGGTACTGGGAGCGTTGGGTGGGTAGCAGCTGCAAGGAGACAGCAGAGAGGCGTGTAAGACTGCGACTCTGCATCCTGGACTCGACTCCGGGTTGTCATAATTTAGGTTGTAAAACAAACTCGTCCAGATTTCTAAATAGTGTGTGGATCAAGAAACTCCACTCTTCATTTTTCACTTCATCCAAACCTCCATCTTTCTTAACTTGGTCTTTTTGCTTTTATCCCTCCCCCTCTATATTTTTTCAATATTTTTTCTTTCCATTCCAGAGGGGCCCACTTCCTGTCTGATTTTTTTTTAAAGGAGGGAGAGAGAGCCAGAGAGAGAGAGATTAAATGACAGCCTGGCCTTAAAACTCAACATCTGGTAGTGCTTAGCAGCACACAGAGAACCAAAGAAGGAGGGAGAAAGAGATGGCAGGCGAAGGAGGAGGACAGACAAAGGAAAAGAACCACAAAAATGGATTTGCAAAAGATTTGCGGAAAAAAGTCCACATCTGGTCTGACGGTCTGGAAAGCGGTGGTAGATGGTTTCAGGTAAGACTTAGGGATGATGAGGAGAGAGGAAGAAGACAAGAAAACTCAGTAGGCCCTACTGTGTTGTATTCCCCATGGGGTCACTACAGCCCATATATGGTCATACAGGTCTCCTCCTTCTTCCTCTCGCTTCTTCTCCCTTTCTCACTCACTTACCCCCTCCACCTCCTGCCCCCCTCCATCTCTCCCTTTCCCTCTTTTTTTGTGATATCCCCTCCCTGAACATGCAGCCACTCTGTCCCAGTTGTCTGAGCGAATATGCCACGTCAAGGCTGGATACTCTTCATGGCCGGCGTGACCAAAATGGACCGCGAGGGGATCCAGAACTCCAATGTCTACCAAAACAAATAAACACACAAGGAGCCATGCCTCAAAAGCCAGGAGGAAAGAGGCAAAACACGGATGTGGCACATTACGGTTCCGAGAAGTTTTTCGATAGACGGGATCCTATCTGCCAAAATGGAGAGGGGAGAAGGGAGGGCACAGACAACACAGCTGCAAGCATCTGGAATGGCAGAAAACAGCGCACAAGGCCTGGCTCTTAACTCCGGCTCCGTCCACCCAGTGTTCAGACTACCTGTTCATTGTCATACTGGTGTACAGTAGTCTGCACATTGGTTAGACTGGGCATGGACCCTCTTCTGTCAGTCTGTCTTTCTGTGTCGCTCACTCTGTCTCCCTATTGGTATTTCAAGTCTCCAAGTCCTTTTTTTTTGCATCTGTTGCTTCCTCCTCAGCCTTTGCTATTTTTATTCTATTAATAATCTGTATTTGATTTGTATTCATCTGTATTTTGTCCTATGTGCATTCTAACATTCACTACTTCCTTTTCATTTCTTTTTTGGAATAAACAAGTCACACTTTTTCAACACTAACTGAAAATATGACAAATTACTGTTGAAAAAAAGAGTTTAAACATCTGAATTTTGAGCCAGAGTGATAAAAGCCAAAACTCACAAAATAACAAGCTTGCATAATTTATAGCATGAATGAGTGAGTGTACAGGCTGCTAGACTAGTGCTCTGATGAAGATGTGGTCTGGTGGAAGGGGGAGGAACGAATGTGGCTGCAAAGCATCAAACACAGGCCAAAGGAATGAAGGGCCAATCAATCAAATGGAGTTTGAAAATACAGTCAGACACCTCCAGTCAAGTTATTTCACTGGGTGGCCAAAATGGACTTGGAAGTCTTAAGGCGCAGGACACTGCTGTGTACTAGGTTGCTGTGGTGTCAAATAACTGCAAAAAGCTTTTATGAAATGTTTTGCAATTGGTGCAAGTAATTCATCAGCAAAAGCCCCAGTGCACAAAGAATACATGTATACATGGGATGCTTTACATTTAAATGAGTGATAGTTCAGTTATGTTGATGGTTTGTGGTGAAAGTATGAAAAGACAGAGCTGACCTGAAACATTTTTACTGGAATATTATGCAAAGCAAAACTGTGACTTGATGTGATAGCTGGTTATGAATTGTAAGAAACAAAACAGGGGAGTATTGATATTTAATAGAGAGGTTTCTCTCGGCTGAAACATTAGAGAATGTTTGGATTAAAAACTTGTGATTTTCCTGCCAAGAATGTGAGCCATTCCAAAGTAACTGCGAACCACACCAAGAGAGAGAGAACGGTGTACGAACGTGTCCATATGCACACGTATGTGACTATAGAAAGTTCACAGAGTGTAAAACAGAAATACACAAGCCGAAACCAACAGTCTATAATTTCTGACATTACCACTCTAACGTATCAAATGACAATCTGTAGGCCCAGTGCTGTGCTGTCTGAGGGCTGAGCTTGCTTTCATATATTTTGGGTGCCTATGAGTGAACATTTGGTTGGAACTGGGACTGTTCCAAATTTGCAAAAGAGAAGCAAATGCCTAAACTCCCAGTGGAAAAAGGTGGGGAGAGAAGAAAGAGGGGAAACTCAAAGACAAGGGGAGAGATGAATGGAAAGAAGGAGTGAATGACAGAACCACAACCAAACTCTTCATATACATAAGTGATACAGTAAACTGCTTCATCATTGTGATGATATACTACTCACTAAACACTTTATGCTCACAATTAGCAAATTGGCCTCAAGTTTAGTTAACCTAAGTGGAACTACATAATGTATAAACAGCTATCTGATAATGAAGGCTGGAGGAAACAATAATGTCTTGGTTTCTATTTTTGTAAAATGTTCTATAGTGTGAATCTCTCTTGGAACTGCACCGGGGGCAAGAGCCTAAACAAGCAACAACACCAACTGGCTGAAAGAGTTGCAGTGTGTCCGCCTATCTCCACTTGCTGTGCAGAATATCCTCCAACCTGTACAGCAGGCACAGACAGGCAGATAGACAACAGCCCGCCAAATAAGCCAGCAGGATGGACAAATGCAGACTTTCTGGTGCACACGGTGAGCTTTCCTACCAAACCTTTATGTTGTTGGTCTATACGATCAATGATAATGGAAATAAAAATGACAGAATTTTGCTTTTTAAGACATCCAAGAGACTGGAGTCATTTATCCATATTGATATGTATGAACACAGTTGCTTCCATTGTGCATAATATATATATATGTTATCATCATCATTCTAAGATGTGTTTTTGCAGTGTAGTTCATTACATAAAGGACAATTCCACACACTATTCTTTACTTTTTCTAAGCAATTTAACAACAATGTAAAGTAATCTCCTCCACGTCCAGAAGACATATGAACAAAACATAAAACTTGCACATATTTATATCCAACCCACCCTCATTGGATCCTGAATAAATATGTCAAAAGGGTACAGGACCCCAGACCCTCTAACTCTTAGGCTATCTGGTGCTTTAGCTAGTAAATACAGTTGTTAAAGTTGTTAGCTTTGTCTGTCAAATGTTTGGTGGTGGGTAAATAGTGTACAGTGTTTTTGATTCTGAAAACAGATGCCGGCTGTGGCCAAAGACATCATGAGAGTGGTGAGAGTGAGCCACAACAGCTGCAGGCCAGAGAACCAAAGCAATGAGCTAAAAAGATGGTAAAATGCTGCTGAACTATGAGGAGCTGCAGTTTCAGGTGATAATTCTCTGTAGGTCCAGCACTACCAGTGACCACCTTCACATTGCACAGTATTTTGATCAGTTCTGTAGCAGCTTAAAAGTTCACCTCATCATCCTTGAACCAGGAGAGGCTCTCAGCAGTCAGCACAAACCAGTACTCCTTGGCACCTCCCTTCATGATGCTGATGTTGTTGATGGTCAGCCAGCCTTTGCGGATCACCTGAGGGGAGGGTAAAGGTCAGAAATTAAGAAACAGCTGTAATGTATAAAAATACATTTAAAATATAAGAACAAGAAAATCAAAAGATGACAAAAGCTTTGTATCTATAAAGATTCTATTAAGAAAGTACTCACCTATCTCTAAAACAACAAACCTGTACAACATATCATGGCAAAAACTAGCCCAAAAGTAATATGTGCACATCATCAATGCATGAATTGCAATGAAATGTGTGTGGGGGTCAGGTTAGGTGTGTCATTGTGTCTTTGTGACTCAGCCAGAGCATGTGATGGTGTGTCAGTGCATTCAAGGGAAAATGAAGTAGAAGCCTGTGGTAGATTGTTAAGTGACCACTGTGTTAAGTGCATCAAGCACACAATAACACACGTGTGTCTTCTGTGTTAGGTGTATTAACCCTACAAGCCCTAGATAAACAGGTCTGTGCACACAGTGCCAAGTGATGATAAGGTTAGATTATCTGTCAGTCTTGCACTGCCTAAGACTCACTAAGGAGGTTACCCAAAGCCTATCTATCATAGGCACAAAAGAAAGAACTGTTTTGTGGCTGGATCCATAGAACAATGCTAAAAACAAATCATATTTCTAACACTTTTAGATACTGTAACTGCCAAACCAAGGGAATGTTTAAGTTGTATTTGTCTAGTTGGCAACCCCTTGTAGTCTGCAGGCCTTGGTGGGTGGAGGGGGTGTTAAAGAGTAAATGGTTAGACAGTAAACTCTTACAATCAGGCCTGATGCGGGAGGAGAGGAGGTCTGCAACAGGAAGGAATGTGGGGGTTTTAGACACCCTGTAGCACTAAAAAAATTCAACTTCTCTTAAAGAAAATGCCTCTGCCCAGCAGTAGCTTAAACAACCATTTTACCATTCTTGACCTGCCACAATAGAAAATGAGAAAATGACAAGTTCTTTGCCGGAGTGCTGGAGAGCACCACACAATGGGCAGAAATGTTATTGCAGGTACAAATAATATTGCAACCCATAACCCACAATGAGTGATACTTACCAACAGACACCCATAAGAGGGCTGCTGAGATTCTCATTAAGGGATGGGGATGAAATGCAAAGTGGCACCTTGATGACACAGGAGGGGTTCAAACAAAGGGAAATGACTCAACAACAGCACCAGTGATGATGGTGGCATAAAGTAATAGAACCCAATGCGATTTATAAAAATAAAACCAAGCACTTTAGTGGTGCCCCACTAAAGAATACTGCATGCATGGCTAAAACTCAAATTGTAAAAATAGTAAAATATAAAAACAAGGCAAAGATGTATAGAACATAAAATGTGTGCAATGCTCAAATGATATAGGGCAGGACATTTCAGCAGATCTCTTTCATTCCATTTGTATTCTCTCTGCAAGAGCCATCCTGCCACTGTGTGGGTGTGCAGCACTCCCATGGCCATGTGCTCTGCCATTTGTGTATGACACACAAGACGTGACAAATGCTTACCTGATTTCCTGCAGAACTCTGGCTCTTATTAGTCTGACTGCTCCTCTGCTGCGCACTGCGGTGGAGCAGCAACGAAACAGACATGGCAGGAGTGAAAGGATGATGGAGTGAACAAGGTGAACACAGAGGAAGATGGAGGATAAAAAACATAATAGAGATGGAATGAGATCCTTTAAACATTTTTTTTTCACTAGCCTGATATGCTCAGTAATATGCAATATGGACCCAGGCTAACAGAGTATTTACTTAGCAAAGCCAATGAAGTCCTCGTGGTTTGTGTTGATGTAAGAGACCTGGATGTCAATTAACAGCAAAACCTGAAAACACACACACAACATTTAATGCAAACTAAGTGTCAGAGAAGTTAGAGAATTAGACCAGATGACTGATGCAATACATTCTCATATCTGTATACAAAATATGTAGTTAGAGCCACAAGGTGGTTTACATTAGCATGAAAACTAGAAAAAATAGTTGTACAAACAGCTAGCTCATCTCTGAAAACAAAACCACACATATAACCACAACTTGCTTACTTTTTGTACAGTTTAAACAAATAAGATGTAACGTGTTAATATGTGAGTGTTTGTGGGCCTGGTGGATGGATTTTGTTACCTCCACACAGAGCCAAACTAGCTTCTTCCCCTTGTTTCCTGTCTTTCTGCTAAGCTAAGACAACCGGCTGCTGGCTATAGCTTCATATTTAGCATACAGTCATGACAGTGGCATCCGTTTTCTCATCCACATCACAGCAAGAAAATGAGTAAATGTATCTTCCCAAATTTCAAATTATTTCTCTGAATGTATATCAATAATAATGTGTTGGGATAACTGGTACCTTGTTTGTAATTTGCTCACATCATAGTGAGTGAACTGAATATGAATATATAGTATATCTCTTTATGTATCTTCAAAACTAACAAGTGTTACCTGGTCCTTAGCCCGACTCTCTCTGTCTCTGATATGAGAAGTCACAATTCTCTCAGTTTCCTCACGCAGCGTTGGGTAGCATTCCAACTAGAAACACATCACAAACTTGGAATGATGAATAAGACAGTACCAGATCCAGAGCCAAATGGAAAACTGAAATTCTCAGTTGTCCTCCTTATCCCATCTATTTTTCAACTAGAAACAAACAAGCTGGTATTACAGCCATACAAGAGGTCCCATAAAAAGAAGAGTTACCTTGTTGGAGCACTGGCGCACAGTGTTAATGAGCTCTTGGATAACCATGTCCACACACTTGACACAAGGCTCCTTCAGCTTTATAATCTGCTTCTTCACAATGGCCTCAAATGCCATGTCTGGGGTGAAAAGTCCAGTCCTGGAGACAACAAAGGAGAATGGGAAAGAGATGATGAAACAACCCTAATACTCAACAAAATTACACGGAGTTTATTGTAGAAGTAATACTGGTTGTGGTTACTCAAACATCCCATTTGCTTTTAATCTGTACTTGTGTAACAGCAGCAAACACAGACTTTATACACAGTCTATAATTACAACAATGAAGAAGTCATTACCAGCATTAGTAGTGATGTGACTGAAAGATGTGATGTCGGCCATTGTACATAGTGGACCTGCTATCATTTTTTAAAGAAATTCAAACCAAAACGTGATGTTTCTTTAAATGTAAGATTCTCTTTCTCTTGGGTGGCACATTTTTTGGTTGTGGTGGCTAACCACTGCTGAATATAGTGACACACACAGAGGACTGGACTGAACTGTAAAAAAGGAAAAGGACAGCATGCTCCTCCCTTGGTCATAAATCCCCATCCAAACCAAATCATGCATGCTTAGGCTGCTGGCAAACAAAATTCACAGATCGGTATTTTTATTTAGATTTTCTGCTATGGTGTCCACCATATTAACAGATTTGGACACCCTTTTTGGATGGATGGATGGATGGATAGATAGATAGATAGATAGATAGATAGATAGATAGATAGATAGATAGATAGATAGATGTTCAACAAGTAGACACTGTTTGGAACAAAAAAATCACAGATTATAGCCTGGGAGATACATTTTTACCTGATACCGTGGATGTTCTTTATGGCATAACTGATTTCACGCCGCATCTCTTTCTCATCACACTCCATCTGAGGCAGAGAGGAGAATTGTCAAAGGTGGGCACAGAAAATGGAGTTATAAAATGTGTAAAAAATGAGAAACAGTTTGAATTAATATTAGAAACAGTTTGATATAATATTATAATAATAAATAAATAAATAAAAAGAGAGAGAAAATAGCACCAAGTTTAAGCATAATGAAACTGTGTAGAGATCATTCAACAGCAAATCACAAACAGAACAACACTGACCAATGTATGTGTTAGGAGGTGGGAGGAATCAGTACAAAGAACAAAGAAAACAGAGGAAGTGGATTACACAAAGTATCTGTGCAAGTCATTTAGGCCTGTATTCGGACTTCAAGATGCATTTTTTAATAAATTAAATGTGAAAAATCCAAATATGTAGTTAATATTTTTACTTTTCATATCTGATCAGAATTTTCTGAGGGTGTGTTGAGGAAATGTGGACTCGTGACTTCAATCACTTTATAACCCTGGCTATGGCCTGATTTGAGGAAAAAGCTGCCCCATCTTCTGCAGTGCCATCTTCTTTTATGCACAATATATCACCTTGACCAGTTCAAAGGGGAAACGCTCATGGAAGATGCGGTTGATTTTTGCTCCACCAGATAGCTCCACCGTGTCCACCTGATCTCCTGAACCCTCAATCCTCTTCTCAAAATCCACAGAAAACTGCTGCACCATCCTGAGACACAACACAACAGAGGCAACAATTACATATAGCAAGACCAACAATTACTTCTGATATACAAAATAAATGCTGTAAAAGAGGGGAATGAAGGATGGTTACATATTTTATTTGAAATAAATCTCATGTAAATGCCCTTGCTGTGAGAAAAATGGGGCACTGACTGCAACAGCTGCTTGGTTTTGCGAGACGGGTCATCAGGTCGATATCCCCGGTATTCTTCTGCCTCCTTGTCCAGAGCCAACAGCTGGGACTGCAGCTTGCTGCGGAAAGCTGGCAAGGTGTCTCGGATGTGGTTGGTCAGTTGCTATGGAAACACAAAGTCAGCAAAATGACAAACAAGTCAAAATCATATAAAGCTATGTAGATTGTATTATTGGCATTTTGGCTATACTGTCATTTAACAATCAAGGCAGTATATTTCACTGGAATCTCAGAAGAAGCATCATTCATACAGTAACAATGCAGAGAAAATGTGGAATGCCTGCCTGCCTGAGTAAAAGTATATATTATTAGGAGCTGAACAAGAAAGAGAGAGTGCATTTTCCACCTACTTATAGTCTTGTATCACCCACACTGATGTGGTGTACAAAAAGAAAAGTAGGCCGCTCTCTTATTAATTATGTAAAGTGCACTGTGGGAAAACACTGGGAGTAAATCTGTGATCACCTGATTGAGCACTTTCTGCAGGCGTGGGGTGCCCATTTTATCAGCAATGTGCCTGTAAGATGGGTGGGATAAGAAGAATTTCCTCTCTGCCTCCAAAGCTGCCTTAATGTCTTTCTTGCCATCAATGTCCTTCTGACTGCGGTTGACCACTCCGATATAACCTGGGAGTGAATAAACATGCACCATATTGGGGGATCTAATGAATGATAATCAGGAGAGACAATGTTGCAATAGCACGGGCGAGATAAACAGAGAAACAAGGGCCGAGTTATTGCATACTGGGAGAACACAGGGAGAGAAACTAAAAGTGAAGGGCTGGAAGAGAAAGCCAAAGAAACACACACCTCTTCTCAACGGCAGCAGTTTATTCTCCAATACATCTCGTGCATCCGTGCCCTCATCCATCAAATCCAATTTGGTGATCACACCAATAGTCCTCAGACCTAGGAAGAGCATCAAAACGTCAAAGAAGAGGAAGACTATAGAAGAAATAAACTGTAGTTTGGTCACTTTCTGATCAATTAGAACTTTGCTTCTAAATTCTTCTTTTCTCTCTTATATCATTGTAAATCAAATATGTTTGCTCAAACCAGCAAATTTAAGATGTCACTGTGGGCTTTAGGAGCCTGTGACTGACATCTCTCATACATTTCTGACATTTTATAAAAAGAAAAACCAGCAGATTACTGGAGGATGAAAGTAGTTTTTAATAGCCCTAAATACATTATAGTGCTAAATTATGCGATCATCACATTGAGCATGAAGAGGAAATAATCCATCAGGCCTTACTACATCTGCTGCATATCATGATCAATTAAATATTCATTATTTATTTATTATTCATTCTCCATTATACCAAATGGACCACTTCTCCTCCCATTCTTTGATCCATGCTCTAATCTCATTTTCATTGCTTTTAGCTCCCATCTACGATGATGTGCATCTGTTGACTTGTTTGTTGTCACTTGATTCAGCATTAGCTTTTTTAATTTTTTTTTGCAAATAATCAAACTATCATACAATGAACTGTGAATTTGGAGGTTCCTAAGAGACTCAGCCTTAGTCACGCTTTGAAGCCAGCTCTTCCTTTTCATTATTTGCATCATTCTTTCCAAGCATCATTGGCCATTATCATCCATTATCTCCCTGTTCTCTCCACCTCACTCTCCTTGTCTGATATTATTCAGCCCTCCCACAAGGTAATGTTGTCCGGGTCCTCCTCCTCCTCCACCTAGGTAATCCATCCTCCTCTCCTCTCCTGAGTCCTCCTCTGCTGTCTGAAGGTCAAACTCTTTTGGCATTAAATTCAGTTGATTTCCTTCTCCTTCCTAACCTCTACTCATCATCCGGCATCCATCTCTTATCTGACCCTCACTTCTTCTAACTCTTTTCTTCAAACATGTCTTCTAGATTTTCTTCTTCCCTTTTCCAATTTATTTTATGATACATCCTCGTCCTCATCCTCATCCTCAGTTCCCCCCTCTCCCAGCCCCTCTTTTC